CTGTTACTCATATTTTATCGTGGGGGGGTGCACAAGTAATGAGCCATCATTTCATGATTAGAGCATGGACATAGCAAATGGTGGAGGTTTTGATAGCATTGACTACCAAATTACACTTAATGGTCCCAATTATACTTACTGACCAAACATTATCAGTTAAATAAAAATAAATAAATAAATAAAAAGAAAAAACCGGGGAGACCATCAATTAATTTGAGATCACAAGAGGTCAATGTTAGCGACTAAACACAAAAGCACAATATCCGTATAATAAAGGAAAGGGGTTTATTAGTCATGGAAAGGAAGAACATAGTTGTTAAGCATGTCTACAGAGCCCATGTCCTTCACCGAAGCAAGCAATAGAAGAGAGAGTGTCAACGAACAAGGCGATCCCTAACTTGGTTTGTACTCGGGAATACTAACGCGAGAACACAGTTTGCAAGAGATTAAATCCCCCACTCAGATATGGGAACATCCATATATGTTGTTTCGTGGATTTCTCTAGGGAACATCCATATATGTTGTTTCATGGGATTTGAACAGCATAAACAATAGAGCAATAAATCAATCACATAGTGAGACCAAATTTTAACATAGAAAATCCAATGTGGGAAAAACCACGGGACCGTAGTTCACCTCAAATTTCTACTATTAATAGTAATGATAATATGTTTACAATAAGTCTTCTCAAGAATAGCAAGAGGATCACAATAACATCAAGATCATATATCTTGGCTCAAGAATAACATACCTTCATCACATAGATGAATCTCTTAGGTCTCACAAAGTGGGTATAGTAGAAAAGTACCTCAGATAGGGTAAACTGTAAATCAACACCGTTAAGATTGTAGAGCTTACTACAAGGATTCTCTGCATAAAATTTGGGCTAAAACTGACAATAGCCACTGATCGTTAAGTAGAAAACTCAGGATCCTAATCTTTCTCTCTCCTTCTCTCTCTATGCTCTTTTCTCTCTCTCTCCGTCACTGCTCGTTGCGCATTCGCTCCACTCTCTCTCTCCCCTATATGTTGTTTCGTAAAATTTGTATCGTGTGTCAGTATATTGATATTAAAAAAAAGTCAAAATATTAAAAAAATTATATTTTAAAAATTTTCTCCTAATTTCTTGTATCGTGTGTTAGAACAATGAAACGATTTCTTCAAAGAATTACTCGATCAATATATCAATCAATCCATATACGTTGTTTTGGTGGGATTTGTGCATATCGGTTAGTACTGTTGTATAGTGTGAAAGTACATTGATTTTAAAAAATTAAAATAAAAAAATATCTAAAATATTATTTAAAAAATCATATTTTAAGATTTGTCTCCTAATTTCTTGATATATAAATTATATTTAGAAAAAAAAATGTATCTAAGCCATAAATGAATACGAATTCTAGGTTAAAGTCAAATATTGTCTTTCAATTATATATTTGTAATCCCAATCATAAATAAACCACTACTTAGTGTTTGCTAAACCATCATAATGATGACTTGAAGTTACTAAGTGAACATAACACACATTTATTTGCCTGATTTAAACAATGGATTTTGCAAGTATTATTTAATTTTTTTTCTCTTCATAACCTAGAGCTGTTGGATCTCATGTCAATGTATTCTCTTTCTTTGCAATTGCAACCATACATCAGATGCTAAATTAGGAGCTGCCGAGCATAACAAGAACCAAATTCTTATGAAATGAGGAACTGATTGACAAATTTCAGAAAGAAAATTAATTGTAGCAGCTATTTCAGAAATCGTCCTATTTTGGCCAAAGGGAAAATCCTAAAACATTATGCCACCTGCGCATATATGATGATAAATACTACAACAAATGATAGTGGTTCATGTTTAAATATACTTGCGTAATCTGTCAACAATCTTTTCATAGTATAGTAAGCCATCGAACATTGGTTTTATGGTTTCGATGCCAATTAAAAAAACATAATCTCGAGAATAAAATTTAACAGAAGATGACTAATGAAAAGGGTAACTTGAAACTACCTGGATTGAGATCTCCTCCTGTGTCGGAGACAAAGCTTTCCTCACAAATTTGGCGCCTCTAGTGCAGAGAACTTGGTATTCAGCACATGAAAAATCAAACTGTCAAGCTAGACCATTAAGCATTCATTCAGAGCAATTGATTAGATGTTGCATTGGTAGTGTGATCCACACGATAGGAGAACATTAACATACCGTTGTGTGTGTATGAATGTATTTATCAGAGTTTGCTAGAAAAAAAGTGTATATGAATAAGCAAGCATACGGGTGGGACCAATTAATTTGCTACGAGCGCTCATAAGCTTTTCTTAGATAGTACAAACAAATCTCGGTTGTACTGCTACCTGAAGGACTGCGATGCGTCCACAGAAAACATTTATGGGTACCAGGACATTCTCCCACTGCCAATTTAATGATTAATGGATACCAATTCTTGGCATTTGGCAAATTGCTCCAAGAATATACGAGTCGATAAATTCTGGTCTTCTCACAATTAGTTCATGTAACTCTGTAAACACGTTAAAAATAGACGCCCGTCTGACTTGATAAACAAAAAAGTATTAGCAAGTTTAACATTAAAAGTACAATATGAATGCTGGGAAATTGTACGAGGAAACATACCGATTGATATCTGGAGTGACAACACAAGCTGCTTGTTGGAAAATTTAGGAACTATGGTAATGTAAAAAAGCAATATCACATAACATCTAAAATTAAAATAGACTCACTTAGGCTATTGTGAAAACCAAACTAACAAAGACACACATTATGTGACGTTGTGGTGTAATGACCAAAAGGAACTCAGACATGAATGGGTATATCTCTGGACGTCAGTTTGATTTGTCATGGAGAGATGTCATGAAAGTAAATTACCTATGACAATAGACAAAAAGTACTGAAAGGATAAGAAAAAATTAAACGAGGATAGTGAACTGTAATAAAAGAAAAGTGTATCGACATAGAAAGTGAAAAGCTGTAGGAACTGTGAAAACATGTGGTGATCAACGAGAGAGCAGTGATGATCATTCATGCAACTATTACCACAGTGTATGTTAGAATCTTGAAAGTTACTATGGATCACTTGTATGCTAGTATTGTACCAGTACAAGGGCAAGCAAATGTAACAACAGTTGGCATGAATCTGGATGAGAAACATTAGTGACAGCAATAAGTCACTCAGGTTAACACCGAGGGTAACATGAAGCCAGATTAGAAATAAGCTGACTAAGGCATGCTGCTCATTGTGTTCTGAAGATACCCTTCTGAATGTTTCGGAAATGTCCTAAAAAAATAAATAATAATAATAATAATAATAATAAAAGCCAGATTAGAAAAGTTGGCTGCACAAACTAAAGAAAAGACAAAGGGATGACAAGAAAAACAACAGAAATGGTCATGTTTTGGCTGAGTCTGACTGATGTATGGATTTAGTAATATAAACAGAGGTGTCAAAAACCCATCCCCTCCTTTAAATGGTCTTCTTTATGACCATTTAAGGTAACCATATATTTCTTCCTCGCATAGGCAAAACTTCTCAAAAGATTTATATTTAAATATCCTTTTTAAGCTAGTGAGTGATTGGCATACTCAATAATTGTTCATGGTTATTTTTTTTATCGCATAACAATATAAAATTTGGCATGAGATTGTAAAAAAGATTTAACGTGAGATGCAAACACAAAGCAAAACCATTCAATACAGCATTGTATGTATGATGCCCCTAACAATCTAATAAATCTCAGAAACACAGGAACATTAAAAAAAAATAAACAACAATAATTGATTGTATCAGAAGATCTTGTATTCTATGATATCATATATCCCATTTAAATTGGTTTCATGCTAAAGCCAACTCCAGCTTGCTGCCGAGTAATAGCAAAGAACAAATACCATATTAATCACACTGACAGATAGAGGAAGCACCAAAACCTAAATTCTTGCACAAAAATCTTGTTGTTCCCAATTTCCCACATTCTACTATTACACTGTTCTAGCAAAAAGGTGCAGTGTTACAAAGTATTCATACCTTGCAAAGCTATACTATAATTGGGTAATTCCCAAGCATTTTCAAATAATTATATATCGACAACAATGTCTGTAGATGGAAAGAAGACGAAGAAGAACGTAAAGGACAGTGAATCAGAACTATGACTACGATGATACCAAGAAATTGAAATTTAATTGTGTTTCTCATCTAAAATCTATGTAAATATAATATAGCATCTTTTATTGTAAGAAAAGATAAAACGGAAACATTTTTCTGACAAATACCAACAAATCATTCCTATATGAAAAATAAATTTCATTGGAAATAATGCATATTGTAAAAAGGACATGAAGCAAAGAGCAGCATCGCCTTGTCCAGACTTTTTTACTATCAGTCAAATGTGACATGTTAACTATGAATAGGAGCAACTCTGCATTGTATTTTGCCATTATAGTGCTCAACATTCTTTAACCAAGGAAAGGTAAAAATTTATATCTTTCAACATAATCAAGTCAAAGAACCACGAGGCAATAAAAAAAACATAGTGTCCCCTTTCTTTCTCTTGTTTCGCTGATCTATCATCATTAGATCTATCATCATTACAGATCTATCATCATAATAAAAAGGACACAGATCTATCATCATTACAGAATACAAACAATTTAACAGGAACATGACTCTCGAAATTAAGAAACTTAAAGATCACACTTGATTGACATTAGATAGTGAACATTAACAGCAAAGTTTGTGTATTGACCACATGGTTTTAAATAGCACCGATAAGCCAGTACATATCGATCATATGGATTGACTGATGACAACAGATATTGACTATTTATTTTTTTAACATAAAATCGAAAAACAAGACAATATCTCATGAAGCATGCAAAAGCATGAGATTTCTTTCCCTTAAAGACACCAATGATGACAATCTTATTTAAGGAGACTCAATCTCAGAGAACAGTCAAATATCAAAACTTGCAATAAGCATGTCTATAAGTATACTGAATTTAGTATAAATACACAAGTTAACTATCGATACAGTTCTACAATGTCAACAAGAACGAAGAAAATACAAAGCCAATATTTCCACACACTATTGCACGTGACTATATTTAGAAGGGGGATCATTAAAAAATTTTCCTTCCACATCATAAGCAAACGGCATAAGAAAAAAAATTTCCTATAAAGCATATCCAGGTTACTGACATAGCAAAAGTAGGTTCCATGATACACAGTTGCAGACATCATCCCGAAATCTCTTTGTCTCTTGAGTAGTCGATATAAATTTAAAACTTACAGATCTTTGCTGCTTTCTCCTGTGAAACATCATCCTTGCCAGCACTAGTTCCTTGAGTAGAAGGTACAGTTGAGTGTATTGGATGAGATTTATCCTGATCCAAGCTTTCATTGGGCCTCAGTATACGCCTTGCTCCTGCACTAAGTTTAACAGGTCGTGATCTTGTGTGACCAGATTTTAAGGGGAATGACAAACCTGAAACCACGACTATATCCGTTTCATGATCTGCGTCTGAAAGGACATCTATTCTTCTGTTTGCACAAGCACTGATTTCTAATGATCCTATAATATTTGGTTTCCCTCCGTGCAGCTGCTCTTTTATAACTGATGTAGGAGAATTTAAGTCTTCTTGAAGTTTGAGGTTAGGCCCTTTCACTCTTTCAATGATCTTATCATCTTTGGCTGCAGGCTTTCTACATCTTTTAGAATGATTCTGATTCTTAACATGAGAAAAGTCAAATCTCATGCCATCTTTAGCTTTGATGTTGTATCCATAATCTGAGGACATTGAACTGAAGTTATCTGTTGTTAAGGCTGAAACAGATGAAGGATAAACTACAGACATGGGAGCATACGAATCATATGTTTGAGACATGCTGCTACTACCACAAGGGAAAGTTGTAATGTGCTTTGAATATGAAGCATAAGGAGAACCACTATTTTCTGCTATGGTGCAGGACTGATCCTCTGCAACTGGGTGAAAAGGGATAAAAGGTGGCTGTTGACTGGTTGCATTTAGCAGCCAATGGGGAATTTTTTGTGAAAAAGGACCTCTTGATGTTTGGATAGGCACTTGATTAGCATATGGGGGGTGGGAAGTTGATGGAATGTTGTAAGATATACTATGATTGTGTCTGCATTGGGATGAATTTAGAAGCATATGCTGGCATTTTTTTTGCGGATGGGATGTCCCAAATGTTTTAAACTGTCCCATATCCAAAAACTGAGTTACTGGGGAACAATGAGCTGCAGAAGTTGATGCTTTGCTAAGAAAAGATTGGCATGGAATTGGATTTATATTTTGAAAGCCACAATTACCACTGGGAGAGTTCGCATTACTTATTAACCAATGAGATCTAAAACCATGATGTGTCCAATCAAACATATGTTTATCTGCTGATATACAACAATAGTTTGAAGGTACCTCTAATGACTTGTAAGGAAATTCCCTTGATGCCCTAGATTCTGCTTGCAAAATGCATTCCTCATCATGCCGTCTCTTCAAAATGGGTTTGTCATACACCCTTGTGGTGTCGCAGCTGGTAGTCATAGTTTCCTTGTCAGTATAGGTTTTCCCTCCATTACAGTCTTGGTTTTCTTTGTGGTAGCTACCAACAGTGACATTTTTACCCATCAGACGCATAGTTGGTTGGATAGCAGGCCAAACACCTAGCTCCAAGTCCCTCTCTGGATGAGAATTCAACCTATCAAAGCAATTTCCTGTTACGATGTGATCGGTACACCCACAACAACAAATTTCCATCTGTCTAGAATCGCAACTGTCAAATTGAGTTTTGTCATCGGATTGATGCTCCACCTTTCCAAGACCTTGCAACTCAGTAGAACAGTCAGATATCACTACTTTACTTGCAGGATAGTAGTGCTTCAAGAACCAATGTTGATCATCCTCATGGTAAATTGGTGCAAAAGGAAACTTGTCATTTGTCCTAACATGGTTAGATTGGGGCTGAAAATGACTGGAAGAGGGAAGAACCTGAAGAGAATTCAATGCAGAATTTGGCATCTTATCTACCTCATGAAACCCTCTATTACCAGGATGCAACTGGATAAACTCTCCCTGTGAATTAAGAGGCAACCCAGTGAAACCTTCCTCTGTGCACGTGTCCCTCCAAAAAGGCCGCACATTTGGTGATGCTTCTACAGCAGCCTTTGATATAATTGAAGAACAAGTGCTAATTACCATGTCTTTTGGTAGATGATGCACTGGCTGAAATTCAGGAAATTCATCACATACATATTTCATAGGGTCCATCATATGAGTTTGACCCTCAGTGGATTGCATGATCCTTTGGTCTGAACAATATATCCAATGCTGCTTGTCTCGGTTTAAATAATGGCACTGTGAAGTTTTTGCATTAGAAACTGAAACAGACTGTCTAATAGAATCATGAAAACTGTAGATATCATCTGAGGTTAGAGAAAAACTTTGTTCCTGACAGTTTCCAGGATCAGAATCAAGGCCATGTTTGTTCACAAGACTGGGATCCTTATGCTCAGCTAGGTACGTGGGACTAGGTGTCAAAGTGGATCCATCCAGACTATCATGGTTTAAATCAACACAATCCAGCACTGGTTGATTTAAGTCAAATCCAACCAAAGGTGTCATTTTTGTGACTGCAGAGTCTTTATTATTTACATGACCATAAGAACCAGTGAGTTGCTTTTCAAAGGAAATTTCACCTGTCTCAATATTTCCTGCAATAACTCCATCATTCAAGTTCAGTTGAGCTGTTCTATCATTCAAGTTCAACTGAGCTCCCTCAGTGACAGATGGACATTTCTCCAAATTCTCCAGATCTGTTGGTGCAGCCAAGACATCAGAAACTATTTTGCAAAGAGTTTGCAAGTAAGGCAGCTGTAAAGGCAAACATCTTTTGGCAAGCACAGATCCACCATCCTTACCAGAAAAACTCAAACGCTTGGCTGACTTGCAACATAGCTCTACAATATCATCGCACTTCATATTTTCTCTTTCTATTGTCTTTCTCTTCTTCGTAGAAATACTTCTTTTTTGTTTCTTAAGAGGAGTATGTGCAGGAGGCACCCATGCTACCACCTGGTTTCTGGAAACCAATTTTGAATACTGAACAAGTCTAAAGATGTAATTCTTTAGGAAAGTTCTGACTGTTGTTGGCTTCGTCTGGTTATGAACATGTTTTTTATGCATCTTTCCGAACTGTTTATACACTTTGTTTCTAAGTAGTTTGCAAGTATCAATTGGAGATGCCATTTTGAACTTCTTGCCCTGGAAAAGAAAGGACAATAATTTTTTAGCTTCTGAGAACTTCCTACAATCATAGGATGTAGTGGTAAAATATATCTCATTTTTCCATGAGGAGAAATTCACCTACCACTGCAGTTAGGTTTTATTGTAAAAACTGAAATATTAACTAAGTTCTGGATAAGCTGATATAAGCTCATCCTCTGGAGAGAAACATCTACAAATTACACTGGAGTACAATGAAAATAAGGAACAAAAAAATGATCTGAAAAACAAATCAATATGGTTTACCACAAATTACATTGATAAATCAATGTGTAGTATCATACTGACATGCAGGTAACTTAATAAAACTAAATGGCCATGCCAACCCAAATGTATCATGGAGTAAAAAGCAGAAAAAACCCAATTCCTTATCTTACATTGCACGACACAGTTATGCAAGCATCTCCAATCAAGTGATTCATTAATTTTCATTCATCATGGTGGTAATAGTGTAACCATAAGCCATACCTACTCAGCTCTTTTAATGGTAAAGCTCAACATCGTTCTGCATCTCCTGGTGCTTTTAAGAATGGTTATCATAGTGGACTAGTTGGGACACAAATGCCAAAATGGAACAAGATATCACTTCAATAGTGCTGAAATGAGAAAGAAAAGAAAGAACAATCAACCATTTTTATTATCATAACACATACATTGAAATTGGTACTTGTTGAATAACGGCCGATATCAGGAAACTAGCTCTTCAATTTTCAATTTAATATTTTCATACACATATGTCTCCATGGTAAATTATATTTTGTTGGGCAATATATTACTCTAAATTGGCTGAGATAATTGATATCAATAGGGTAAGTTACCAAACAAAAACCAATACAAGAACTAGGCATGCTTCTTCATTCAGTTTCACATAGTAATGACTTGAACAAATGGGCAGAAATTGCAATTTGCGTTGGTTGCTTTAAAATTTATTTGGATTTTCTAAAATTTAATAAGCCTCCTAAAAATCATATGCAATTGGATAAAATAAAGAAATTGAGCTTTTTCATCCTCTGAAATGTTTTCTGATAAAAGAATAGCTTGAGGGTTTGATTAGTTTGGGAACAAATTATTCAAGATGGTTATATTCAAGGTTCGAAATACCGTACCATACCAGCGTTTCGACGTTCGCTCGGTACGGTACGAAACGGTATACCGCTCGGTATATATATATATATATATATATATATATATATATATATATATATATATGTATATATATATATGTATGTATATATATGTATATATATATGTATGTATGTATATATATGTATATATATATATATAAAATCCGAAATAGACGCCTCGGCGACGTCGTCGAAAAAGGCGACGTCGCGTCGCCTCGGCAACTTCACCGAAAAAGGCGACATCGCATCGCCTCGGCGACATCGCCGAATGTCGCCTTTTTTAAAATATTTATATATAAATATACATATTATTTTATTATTATTTTTCGTTCCGTCCGGTAGCGGGCGGTCCGTGTACCGGTATGCTGTCGGACCGGTATGTACCGCCCGGTACGGGCAGTATCATTCGGTATTGCCTACCTTGGTTATATTTAACAACTCCGTTATTCAGGATTTTCAATCATACATTATGGGATGGCACATAAACCACAAAATTAGGTTACTATTGATCAGAAACTCTCTTAAATATTAGCTTTATTTTCTTTAACATAAAAATACCGGTCATGAAATATGGATGAAAATCAGCCCATCCCAATCCATATCAGAATATTATAAATAAGGATTGCCAAATATAATAATGACCAAGGTATTAAACCTGGTAGCATATATTATCCTTGTTCAGTATATTATGGGATACCTACAGAAAAATAGAATTTTCAAAAGGTGTTGCTGTTCTTTGGTACAATACAGTACCTAAACATGATCTAGTTGAAATGTGTTACTACCATTAGTTGATACTCATCAAAAGCAGTTGTGGTCAAGAGGTTTCCAAATTCAGATTCTTCCAATCCCAACTTGTACAACCAAAACGTTGGGATAAATTTCAATTTAAATGGACCAAAGAATTAATTTTAATTTTTGCAATTATTTGAGTCTTGTTTCCACATGCTGATCTATTCACATAGGATGTCTCTTTTCCATGAACTGGACCATTTACCACTCTGGATGGTGGTTCCAAGTGTGTCACAGCAAACCTAGTAACTTTGATGCACACTCTTATTTATGAGGATGCTTCAAATTTTAAGATGCTACATCTACTTTTTATATAAAAGAAAAAACATCTAATGAATAAACATGAGGTCATTAGCACCTCTATTTTTTCTTTCCCTGTAATCAAAGAGTATGGCCAATTGGTTCTCTTCCAACATCCATCAGTGTTATTGTTTGGCAAAAGCCATCATTATAAATCATCCAATCTCATTTTCCATTTATATCTTCTTAATCAGTGCCATGGCATGCCTCTATCAACATAATGTCAACAAGGAGCATTACCATGGTACATAAAGTGCCCACCAGTTACCACAACAGGATATATCTACAAAACTGAAATCCCTTCTTTTTCTATCATATATGTGCAAATCCATATTCACAATGGATATAAATACTTATTGAAGTAACAGAGCAAGCAAGATGAAACTACATAACAGAAAATACACTAGCTCATAAATTGCTCCTGAAATGAAGTAAAAGACGAAGCAAAACTACAAACAGGACTTGTAAAACCGATTAACAAAAGATACAAAGCAGATAGGTGAACTTCCCACAAAAATTCAAGATAAACAAAGGGAAAGGTAACTTAACTTATTTCTATATCAAATTCTGGTGATTTTAGTGTCAGCATTAAAGGCAGGTATATATTCAGATTTTCAAATCCTTGTTAATTAAGGCAGCACAGAATTATGACCAACTGCTTAAAGGATTAAAATCAGAGTCAAGGATGGTGCAATGGATCATTAAGCTGGGATGATAGATTGAGAACTACCAATACAGTGAACTAGAAAAGGTGCTAGTTAGCTTTCTCTATACAACTGAGATGGGACAGTTCTTTTGTGTACATTCAGAAATAATTGAACAAGATGATGATCTTACTAAGACAAGGATGTTGTGAAGGATGTGTGATCCTAGGAAAGGTAGAATAGAAAATGTCTATATTCATGAACAATCAAAGATTGCTCTGGTCAGGAGCTATACTAAGGAAAATCATTTAAATAGGCATTTTGAGAGCCTTTTTTTTTCCAATTTCTCACAAAATTCACCTTAATTTTCTCTTAAATCCCTTCCAAACTTATTGATGGAGGATCCCAAACCATTGACCATCTCATGTCATTCATTTTTGGTGCTAGGAGCATTGTAATAAATTCAATTTAAGAGTATCAAACTCATATTGTTCCTAGATGCATCGTCCGAGTTTGAGTAGGTACATACATTTGTTTTATATTTCATTTATTGTTTTATGATATAAATTTAGTTTAAAGTTGTCTAATTTCAATTGTATATAACCAGAAAAGTAGAGGGTTTTCTAGAGCCTACAAGCAGTCCCTAAAACCCCCCAAATCTGCCCTTAGTCTCACTCCTTCTCTTTCTCACTCTCATTTTCTCTCTAATGTCTCTCAAAATTCACTAAATTCTATCTTAAATCCCTTCCAAACTAATTGATGTGACTTGTGAGGACCCTGATCCATTGATCCCCAACTCACGTCATTCATTTTGGTGCTAGGACCACTGTAATAAATGCAAATTGGGGTACTGAAGCCATACTGGTCCTAGTTGTATCTAAGTCCGAATTAGGTATATATCTTCATTTTATATCTCATTGGTGTTTTATAATGTAAATTTAGTTTAAAGTATTCTTCATATCTTGCTCTCCCCACCATCAAAACTAGAGATACATAGGTATTTGTAGATAAACTAAACCCTACTAGGGTTTACTTCCTCCATAAGGATTCCTTCTCGTACTAGGATTCCTTGTCCTATAAGGACATTACTCCAAGAATCCTAAAATACTTGTCAATCTCAACAATCTCTCCCCTGGTGAATATTTTATCCACTTTTATTCTTTCTAAAGAGAAAATACTTTTACTTCATGCTCCTTCAAATATTGGTCACTCGTCCTTGTTGAATCTCTGATCAATACTTATCAATCTCAACAATCTCTCCCTTGGTGAGTATTTTATTCACTTTTGTTCCTCCTAAAGAGAAAATAGTTTTACTTCACACTCCTTCAAATATTCGTCGCTTATCCTTGTTGAATCTTTGATCACCGAATCTCTTGGCCTTTAATACCACTCATTAGGAAGGAAGAGAAGACTTTCAAAAACTAAAAGAAATCATAGAGATCAACAATCAAGAACATACCAAAAAGCCGACACAAGATTTAACATGGTTTAGTAACTCTTGCCTATATCCATGGAGAAAGTTCAAATTCTTCACCATATGAGATCAATTATAAGACCCTTAAGTTATCTCCACTCAAACATAATTCCCTTGTATACTGTCTCACATAGACCCCAAATAATTTACACCTTTCTCTCACCTTGTCTAGAAACCCTAGAGAGCACCCTCTCTAAACACCCTAGAGAGAAACTAGGACCACCCAAAGTATTCATCACATCTTTCTCTCCCCACCACCGAAACCTAGAGATGCATGGGTAGAGAAGAACTAAGCCCTAATTGTTAGGCCTTTCGTTCTCCATGAGAACTCCTTGTACTAGGATTCCTTGTCCTCCTATGACACTAGTTCTAGAAATCCCAAGACACTTGCCAATCCTAGCACACCCATAGATAGATTCCTTTAGGATAGCCTTCTCTATCAATTCATGGGACAACCTCATCGAGAACATTCGATTAGCCAAATGAAAAGATTGAGGAGAGGAGGATGACAACAAGAGAGGACCCACGTTGCTTCAATTGATTTGCCTCAAAGGAGGCCCGAATAACTTTGGCCACCACCGAGTTCTTATTCAGTACCTTATCCCTATTTGAGGTGGCGAATGGACAACTGATGTAATTTTGGCTTAATGATGATAACAATTCCTTTATCTTTATCCATCAAGGATACTTCCTTTATCATCATCCACCAATAATACTCATAGGTTAAACTTGCTCTAACCTCTTTCTTCATAACCAATCAACAAAAGGACCAGCCCATACTCAAGCTTCATCCATACTCAGGCTAAAGACTAAACCTCCGTTCAAATCTAACATGGCTCGACTTGATTAATTTCTATTTTAGTATATAATTATTTTGTGCCAGCTCAAGTATCTTATACTTAAAATTGAGGTTTCCCTAGATATCTAAAGCTGACTTCTCTGAATCTACAATGCTTTAAAGTTCCAAAAGTTTGTGCCTTTAGAAAACTTTTCTTTCTCTCCTAGTACTCCCATTGTTCCATGTATCTTCTTCCCCAATTTCTAATAGATCAATTTACACTAAATAATTCATGAGGAAAAGTTGGCATTATTAAGTATTATTTTTGCCATATGATTTCTTCCAAAGTACAATCATTAATTTCAGAAAGTGATATTTTTATGTTTTGGTTCATTCACTTGTATGTTGCTCAACTTTATTCACCCAAGTTAAGAGTTTACCATTGTGACCCCCGACATTTTTTGTTATTCTCTATGTATATTGTGCCACTAATATGTTGTGCCTTCATCATCTCAATAATTCTTAGGAAGAAAATGATCTCTTGTGCCTCATACTAATTAAGAAACAATTCTGGAAATCCTCCACACCTCGTACCATCACTGACCTATTCATTTTTCCACGTTCAACAATTATATATTCACTCAAGGTTCTAGGTGAAATCTTCCAGCAATGATGAATAGTGTTATCTACGGCAAAAAGGAAATTTTGTCCTTCCAAATCGTAACTTTCACCCCAGAAAAAACTAGATTAAGGAACAATCCTGAGACTTCTTCTAGTAATTTAATTCATCTTACAAGCTGTTTTGTTTTTCTATTTTATGTTTCCAACAAAACGACAATGTCACTCCAATGCTATAATATCATTTCTTCTAGTGGTCATTGGTTTTATATTAGCCTCCTTTAAGGGCAAAAGGAGAGAACTTACAGCAAATAAAATATACAAATTGCTATACTATGAACCCTCTTTTGTTTTCAAATGCCATTTAATTCACCAAAAGACATAACTTTATGGGCTGCAGTTAGCTATATGTTAAGTGACAAAGCAGACGAACATCAAGCTAACAGATCGGTACAAGGGTACACTAAACCATCAATCATGTGAGAAGCTGACTGATTTAATAATCATAGGCAATGATCTAGAGTACTGCACCTCGATTACGGTAGCAATGACATATTTTATAATGCAAAGACTATCAATACATTTTTTGTTAATCCTTCATGCAAATGAGGTGTTTCTCGGTCCTCTTCGATCTTGTAGTAGGTTGGTTCAATTTCTTAACAGGGTTACTCTCGAATCCTTCGAAGTAAGTGAATCAAACATTGGACAAGTAGATCTGAAACAAATTATCTGTGGCCGCAATGAAGTAGATAATCGTGCCAATGAAGGAAAATTATCCATGGCCACAATGAAGTAGATAATCGTGCCAATGAAGGAAAATAGATCCACAAAAGCTGGAGCAAGTGCAAAACGCAATGCCCTTCCTAGCTTCACCGCCATCAATGGATGAAGGGACGAAAAGAGAGAATGAGCAATGTTCTCACTCGACCTACAGACTGCTTCCTAGACCCAAAACGTCAGCTGACACTTTGTTCACATCCGGAACACGCACAGCAATCCATGCCAAGCAGATGCCGTGCACCTGCCACTCATCAACCAAAGCCCTAGCTGATTCCAGCCACCAACGGCCCAACTACACTCAAAATCCACATGAAATATCAATAGCCCATCCACCCAAAAATAGCAATGATCCGTATTCCCCCTATACCCTAATGATCTTCCTGACCTGACCCTTAGCATGATTAAGCAATCCATAGTCACACTAAAAATTACCGCATACAAAGGTACAGGATCCATACAGCCAGTACAGCCACATGCTATGCAGTGTAAGAGTAAGCAAGTGAAATTATTGCATACAGATACAGAAAGGCTGGGGTTAAAGTATGCGTCCTCAAGAACATCCCACGTACCTTTTTAGCAGCGCGGATCTCAACCTTGAGTTTCTTCTTTTTCGCCATCATCTTCCTCGTGACCTTCAAATTTTTGTTTGCCCCAATCTGTTCTCTCACCCTCCTCTTCCTACCTTCCTTGACCCGTTTCTTTCTCTTCATCAGCTCTAATACATCCCCTCCATCGCCGATCCCACAATCGCTCTTCGCGGCAGCTGCTTCTTCTCCTTGCTCTATGCCTCCACCATCATCCAAGCCGTCTAGTTCCTGTACACCGTGAATCATGGGGGCCACCGCAAAGAGCTCGAGAAGAGATCTCTTCTTGAGCGTTCGTTGTTTTGCCATGGAAGGAGGAGGAGCTTTCATCTGCCCCTCCAAGGCCAACGCCTCCTCGCCGCCTGCATCCAGGCCGCGGCCGTCATCAGCAGAGTCAACCCCGGGTCCGTCCCGGGTTTCAACAACGATACCCACGGCAGCTCTTTCGACCGGATCGACCGCCTCGCCGGCGGATCGCGCTGTCCGCATCTCATCGACCCACCACCGAAATCTCCGAGTCGGAATCGGGGGTAAAGACCGCCCGGTTCTCTCATCCGCGAACGGCCAGCACTTGTCGTAGTCGACGCTCCTCATCCTCGCCGCGTACTCTCTTTCAATCCCCGAACGAGAACCAATAAATCAAACCCCAATCAGAAATCAACGTCAAAAGAAACAATTCAGAGAGTATACTCACCGAATCGAGAAGCTGTCCATGGAAACCGCCATCGATCGAGAGAGAGAGAGAGAGAGAGAGAGAGAGAGAGAGAGGAGTGGGGCAGACCAGAAAGCCAAGAAGGTCACGATGAAAGAAATAGTTAATAATAGAGGGGGAGAGAGACAGAGAGAGGCCGCAACCGCTCACCTTTTTCCTTTGCGTTTTCCCGCTCTACGCCTCGGTTTTCCAACCCCACTCCCCATACTATTTATTGCGGTAAAGCGACCGGTGCCAACCGGCCTGAAGAAACCCCAACCCGTCCTCGCGCGACGTTGACACGATCTCAGCCGTCCAACTGAGTCCTGATCATGCGTGATGTGGTCACCGTCATGATTTCGATCGCGAACACGCTGCCACAAGCCTGCCGGTTCCTACCACTCACCCCCTGACATATCATCAGGAGGTTGCTCGGGCCCACCAAGTTCCAATGAAAAGCCAGGTAGACGCGTTGGTCGGTTGTTTCGTTTCATCGTGTCTCGAGAACGACGGCGACACGTGGACAGCGGGGCCCGCACTTCAGTGCACCTGCCGCTGGCCGCACGGCACCAGGCGGACGCGTCGGCGAAACGGACGGTCCAGATCCGGTCATTCGGACACGCGGCTCGTCCTCGCCCGATTCGTAGCCTGCGATTGGGCGGTCCCGTCGACGCTGACGAAGACCAGGCAAAGGAAAAGGACAGAGAGAGAGAGAGAGGAGGAAGAAGTCCATCACCAGTTGCTCACTGTTAGGATGGTATGTTACTGTAGACATGACGAGCTTGGCACAGGAAATGAGCGGGATCAGATTGGGTGCTGCCACCGAGAACCGAGACATGAGAGGGAGAAACTAAGTGGGAATTGTAAGAAATTTTGATGAAGCCAACTTGTGTTTCTAAATCATTGTAATAGAAACACAATAAACTAATGCGGAAACGAAATAGCGTACCTCCAGCCATTGTCGCCAAGAATTTCTGCAGAGGTTT